AAAAAAAAAGAAAGCAATTTGCGTGACGCCAGCACGTGAGCTTCGCATGACAAATCAGCTCAGTGTGCTCTGCAAAGTTGGCTAGTAAGCTCATTGACTCAGCGACAGCGTGACTGTTTGACAGACTCAGTTGTTAACTGACTGGCTGAATGCCTTGGTGAGATATCACGCAGCGTTGTATGTATGTATGTAGTCACACATTTCGCGGGCGTTGATGTTCGAACAAAGCTGCCTAAGAATTTGCAATGCTTTTTAAGTCAAACAAAAGTTTATGGCAAATTTTTTTTTTCGAATTTTCAAGCTCAACTGCGGCGGCACATAATCATTCCAGTTAGTTGAGCAACATTTGTGCGGTATTCTTGTTTTAATATTTTTTACGCTTAATGACACTTTTATGATGAAAAAATGTTGACAAAGCCATTTTGTCATGCGTAAAGCAGACAGACATTTTAAAAATTGATATTTTTTATATTAATAAACAAGCGAAATGCAATATGTTTTAAAACTTTTTTTACTCAACCTATTGAAAAAACGGAAAACAACTTTTTTCATATTTCTTACCATTTATTTGAGACATTTATTCGTACATAAAATATCATCAGAGAAAATCATCTAAATACATACATATTTATGCGTGTGTACTAATATGTTGAGTGCTATTAACATTTGATTTATTAGTTGCGAAAACAAAGCAAATTTTTTAACGCAAATGCTGATAAGAGCTGTATATTAAGCTAATAAATATAAATTGCGCTGAGCTTTTAAAACTTTGCCAAGAGCAAACATTAAGGTGTATAGTTGATAGGAAATTTTATTCCATTTTGATCTTAATAATATTTTTGGTAAAACTTTACTTTTTAGTTTTGCGTTCTTCAGAGGCACAAAAGTTGTAAGGCAAAATCTAATATTAGTTTCGACGCCAAGCTTAATTTTCCAACAAAGCTACACTACTTTCAATGGGAACATCTAGCCAACGATTTTAAGTCGTTAATCTTCGGAATTCGTTCCATGGAATTTTGGTCATCGTACTCTACCGATTGACGTGGAACATCCTTATGTCAGCTTGTGGATAGCACTAGACCTTCACTTAAAAATAGTGCAACTAAGTGCAAGCAATCAAAACATACAATAACCCCGAAAAAGTCAATCTACGTGCAAACTACCAACTTTAGCATTATCCTTGAACTGGATTTTCTTTTTCAACTCAATTACAATGGCATGTCTATTTCAACTTCAATTTACATACATACATAACTAGTATACATACTATGTGAAAATGTGTATGTATGTATGTTCATATATACAAGCATACACAAGAGCAAACTATTCCAATCAATTGAGCTAGAAATGCTCAAGCAAGTATAAAGCGTAGTGGGTAAATGCAAATGAGAATACTTGAAATTTCCAATCCTCAAATTGGGCCAACGCCATTTCGCAAAATTAATCGCTTTACGATGCACTTCAAGCAAAGGCCAAATGGACGAGTGCAAGCAAGCTGCACTGGAGTGTATGTATGTGCTGATATATATATGTAAAGGTGAATAAACAAGCGTGTATACATACTTGTAAATATCGGATAATAAAAAAACAGTCAGCAGCTCAATAAACGAAGAGAGTGAACGATGTAGGTTGTTAAAATATAAATAAATGAGGTAGTGCCCAGTTTGAAAAAAAATGGAGAATAATTCTGTTCTCTATTGGAAAGGTTTGAATGTCGACATTAGAAGAAAAATTTAAATGAGGCTAAAATTAATGCAGAAAACTTTAAAATGGACTCATTTTATACGTTCAGGGGTTAAATTTTTCATTTAAATTAATTTGGTTTTGGTTTTGTAAGACCTATACACGATTTGGATAGATAGAAGAAACATAAACTATCGAAAGAGATTAAGGAAAATAACGAAGAAAAGTAATTTTAAGAAAAAAAATCGACTTAAAAAAAATATATATATATATGTATATATATTTCATGATCCAATGCTCGGATCTAAACCAGATTAGTATGGGACCACCTCTGAGACACTACCTTTCCGATGCAGAAAGAATTATCGAAATCGTGGTCCAAAGTTATGCGGTAACATACATAAAAAAAAAAAAATATTCCGACGGACTGACCTCCTCTTTGTTTGGAAGTCGGTTAAAAAAGTGTTATAAGTAATACTATTATGCTATATTAAGTTGGAATTACTCTCGAAAATATTGAGTTGAGTCTACACGGTGATAGTGTGACCCAATATATAAAAGCCAGCATGCGCATAAATAACTGAAGCCATAGAAGAGTTCTATAATTGACCCCTTTTCATATTCAGATCCAGTGGGGCACTCTCTTTTTCGATTCGAAACTGAATGCAATTTGAAAAGGGACACGGTCTAATACAAATACATAGCGCCGAAAATTCGACTCCGAATGATTTGCTTTTCGAACCGTAATACAGAGTAGACCCGGACTTCAAAGTTGTTGGAAGATCGATACCCTAAAGAACCAATATCTTGCAATTGCAATACCGAGGCCTACAAAGGAACCAGAATATTGTGGTATTGACGGACATGCACGCGGCTATCAAGGACCTTAGTATGACAATGAAACTGGTATTTCAGTTTCTAAGAAGCTGAACACTTTTGTGCTTCCGAAACCAGTTAGGGTTTTCAGCGACATATTTATATTGAATTAATTGTTTGTATTAGTAGAAGCATATAAATATGTATATAGAATGGTAAAATAATATTTTAAACTTTCAACAATCAATTCAGATCATTTAAAGGTAAAAACTTCAGTTCATTCAACAAACATAGCATAGCATAGTGAAAATTATTTTTCAATGGGTATATACATAAACCAATGAATGCAAATGAGGAGCAGTAGCCAGTCAACATGCACGCAATTGCCTGTTCGCCTGTAATTATGCAATCAACAACGACACGCCCCCACATATATGTAAATTGGAAAACTCATACTCCCAAGCACGCTGATGCATTATTACGCAGCAACATTCATTCTTTTCTTCATATACACATTGAATCACGCATTGCCTGCGCACCGCATATCTGTCACTGCAATTCAACGGGCCTGCCAAGACCACACAATTTTGCCCCAACACCACTGCCATACAACATCGCCTCGCTATGTTCAATTATGTGCACTCGCTTGGCAGCTCTGATGGCCGTAATGTCGTCATCATCGTCAACGGAAGTAGCAGCAATGGCAGTAGTGCCAGCAGCAGTGGTAGTGGTGGCAATGAATCAACAACAACAATAACCATCAGCCGATTCATGTTGTACATGGTTAACCTTGCATACTTTTGTGCTGCAAAATAAATTGCAAAAAGTCAACGAATTGCATAGGACAGCAGTGAAAAATGGTAAACAGGAAATGTGTGCGACTGTATGCGTTGCTGTGTGTTGGATGTGTGCAAGTGTGCGAGTTGCTGCTGACGTGCATTGTTGCATGGCAGGATATTGTTCGCCGATAGAAGTCACCGCAATAGCGGGTGGTAAGTTGAGGTTTTGTGCAGGCGTGCACAGAGTTAGAGTAAAAAATGGAGACAAAGGAGAGAAAGTGGCAGCAAAAATAAATAGGAAAGCTGTTGAGTGTGTTTTAGCATGTGTTGGTAATCTTTGACAACTTCATGGCGCAAGGTTAGTCACATACATACAAAACATACATACATACAAGGCTTGTATGTATCTAAGTAGTGCCATGTGCTGGCTATCATCAAATTCTGTCGTGTTAGCATTTTCGAGAGAAAAATATGCATGTAAATAGGGGACAAGTGTACATAGGTGTGTGCGTGTGTCTTTATTGCGTTTGACACACTGACATTCCAAAGAAAAAGCGAGCTGCTACCCTACACTTCTTCTAAGTGCTTTTCTACATTTTTTCAATACATATTTCCTTCTGTTTTGCGTCAATAAGCGCGACCGCCTAAAAGTCTGTTAAGATGTTTTATTTTTTCTCATTTAGTTGCGCTTGGACAAACAGCGTGATTGCATTTTTACCACTTCAAATAGGAATATAAAAATCGAAGCAACTAAAAATAGTGGAAAATTGCGTACAGAAAGGAACTACAATTCAAAAATGACACACTGCTCTTGTCCATAGATCAGCGGATGTCCATAGAGAGCCAATTGGACGCACTAGTAGATTTCTCGTGAAAGCAGGAGTCTCATAAGGGCTTAAATGCTTCTCAGTCACTAATGCCCGGTTTCACCAATAAACATTAATGGCCTTATTCATAAAAAATAAAGTAGGTTTAAAGAGCTTTGTTAATTGACGTTTTCATACATTTTTCAATTTATAAACCTTTTACAAAGCTACTTTAATTGTTATGAATAAGGCCATAAGCCTGTTAAAATTTAAAATATCCCAATTTCGTTAGAAAATTTTGCTATTTTAAAATTTAACAGTCTGATAAATTCTAAAATTGATAGTTGAAACCGGGCATCAGTCTGTAAGCTTCCCTAAATTAGAACGGCTATGAGACAAAAACATTACATAAGTAAGTGTATCTTATTAAATACATTATTCATATGAAAATCTTACAATGCAATTGAATAAGCAGCATACGACGATGACGATAAGTCGACAGTCGGATAAACAAACATATAAATTCAGACACTTTGATAGATTTTTTATTTTTATTTTTTAACAATTTCGCTCATGAGAACACATTTAGTATAGGCTCCCTATACTTAAGACATCTGTCCAAGTAATTATAAAGCGCAAGATAATAAGAGAATCGAATTCTCCGCGAATACTATGACAAAATTTCGTTTCACTAAATTCATTGATTAAATTCGACGCTTAGTATGAAGCTCACGTATTATTATTTGTACAGGTGATAGTGAATCATATTACCGAAAGTACAGCAAATGCTGGAAGATGAGCTTCAATACATTGCTGTGTTTATTATGCGAAAATTATCCATCACCGAATATGAGGAAGAATCAAAACTTTTGTTATAAATATCGCATTCTTTTAGAGTTAAATATGTATTTTAATAACAAAATAAAACCACAAAAGCATTGGGCGAATAAAAAAAATGAAAAATTGCCAAGCAATTTTATAAATGACCGTGTTTATGTCATTAAGCAATTTTCTTTAGAATGTACATATACATAACGAAAATGCAATAATTATTAAAATGAAGCTGATTTTAAGATACATATGTAAGCAAATATGGCACACGCAGCACAAAGGAATAATTTGTTTGTTTACACTTTTTGACATTATAGTCGGCCATGAGGGAGCTCAACTGGGTTGTCACTTCTACCTTGTTGAATATGCCTTGGTTTTAGGCACACTCGATAGCATGTACATATGTATCTATAGGTTGAAAAGTTAAATTCAGAGTTATTGGTTAAAAACGCTTAATTTTGGAAATCATTAAAAAAAAAAAACTCTCTAATTAAATGCATTAATTTAATATATACATACATATTAACCATCTAGTATGCAGTTTTTATGAAAACCTCAGCAGTAAACAATTATGGAGGTCTATAGCGAGTTTCTGAACCCAACAATGCATACCAACATCTTTTGTGCGGCTTCTTCGTTATGCACAGCGAATGAACAACACTCCATCACGTAAATGCAATTACCCAAGCAACAATAGAAGCCGTTTAAATTTTTTCCACTCTCAGCACTTTAGCAGCCATCACTCGGTGCTGCAAATGCATTCATCACTCCTCACTCCCTTCTTTTTTTAGGAGATGCACTCGATTTTCTGCACTTCATATTTTTCCCCTTTGGCGTTTGCTTTGTTCTCGCTTTACCTCTTTTCACTAGTACTTCTTCGCCTTGTTCCTAAATTCTATGCCTTGCGTGTTCACACTTTGCTGGCTAGCGCTTCTACTACGATTCGTTTATGCTCGTGACTTTTGTAGCAGCTCAAAAGGCTGACTAATTAAATTGATTACGCCTCTTTGAGTGCAAGTTTAATGCACTTTGCATCCGCGTTTGACGCTCATCAGACGCATTGTCGCTTCACGGCCAACGTTAGTCTGGGTTTTGTCGACCGTTGCATGGTCACATAGGCGGCTCTTACCGCCTGTGGTGTTAAGTGCAGGCTTTGTTCAACGTTAGTGCGTTTTATGTTAGTTTTTCATGCCATTCCATTGTTTTGGATTTTTTATTTCTTCTTTAAAGAATTGTGATTTTTTTGTTGCGTAATTCAAGAGGAAATTGAATACAATGCAACAAAAGGAAGGCATCGCAGAAATTAATTTAATATTCAAGCCTACTTTTTATTTGTTCAGGAAAAAGGGTTTAAGACTTGAACTTAGTGTTATAGAAGATGTAAGCTTCTTTAAAAGAAAAAATACTTGATTTTCAAAACTTTTCCTGAATTAGTTTTTTAATAGTCCGGTCAATTTACACATTCGAGGTTACAAAAATTCCCACCCAGCTGAAAATTTATAGGATTGTTCAAAACACCATCATAAATGAAATTTAAAAAGTCTTCATCGATCCGATACCTGGAAAAAAAGTTACTCGGGGTCAAAGGACACAAAAACCGAGTTTTTCGCGATTTTCAGCAAAACGGTAAGTTTATCAGAAAATTCGCTTAGACAAAAATTGTATATCAGGTAATTGCCTATAAAAAAAAGTCTAAATACATATTTTCATATTTTTCATGACTTTTCCGGATTTTCTTGGAATTTTTCTGAATCTTTCGAGTTTTTCGGAAGTCTTTAACATCTAAAAATAAAAGGCAGGGTATTCCGGGTAAATTTTGCTTAATATTTTCAAAATATTGTATGCATTTGTTTTCATGATCGAAAAAAATTATTTTAAAAATGGCTTTGTGCTGTACGCACACTCGGCACAGCTTTTCCTCTTCAATTAAATTTGGTAATTATCGAAAATGAGGAAACCGTTTCAAGAGTCATCTCAATTTATTGCGCAACTAGCACACTACTGGAAAGTTGCAATAATTCCACTCAAATTATAAGTTGCAGTAAAAAAAAAACATCGAAATATATAATGAATGCATTCGTACAGGCATACATATATATTGACTTAAGTCAAGCAAACCAAAATGGAACGCTTCCAACCGTATACCTGAATTACTCACCAATTTCGTATACCACAACGACGAGTAATAGCGCCAAAACTCAAGTGCGAGCGTTTGTTTCGTTAAGCGCTCCCCAGTTACCACTTACCACTTACTATGTAGTTGGCCCCCTAAGCGTCTTTCATATCCATATTACCTATCTACGTTATCTGCGGAAAGCGAATTTCACCTACATATTTTGATTTATTATTTTCGTACAGCTTGAAAGTTGTAATTTTTGTAGAAAAAATAATTTACAAATAAAAATGTTCACTAACGACGTTTGTGCCCACTGAAGCATTACGCCCGGGAATGCAGTTGCAGTAACTTGTATACATTTATAATGCGAATAAAAAATATTTTCACTTCTCGATTTCGGCCCCTCTCTGCCTCATCGACTTCGGCATCAAGTAACAGGCGAAATTATTTTGAATTGCCGCATTTCAATGCTGCTGCATGCAGGACTGGCAAAACTTTTCCAACATTTGCTGTTGCGCTGAAAGCTTGTGTGGAGCTATAACTATATATAAATATGTACATATATTTTTACTATCTGCGTATGTACATATGTTTGTAGGGCCATATTTTCGTTTCGCTACTTCAGGCATTGCAGTGCTTCATTTTTTTCTAGCATAATTGCGCTTTTTACTTATAAATATTTGCATGATATCGCCTACAGTAATTTATTTTCCCTTTTTGTACATTTTTTTTTTGTGAAAAACTGCAAGTTATTCCTGCCGATTATGTTGCTTACTTAACTTCTCTGAACTTACCAACAGGCACTTTTTTCTGCAACTTATATTTTTATGTCTCTTTTGGTTTGCGCTCTGCTTATTGGTCGACCTTCATTTGATTTTAAAATTGTGTAGGAAAGTTTGTTGCAATGAATATTCGCAAATTAACCCTAATTGCAATTGGATTTGCATTCAAAAATATTTCAGGCACGTTTTCACTTGTGCGAACTTTGATGCAGCCATTTCTTTTTCTAGAAAGCTTTTTAGTTGACTGGAGCTCTTAAATTAGCAAATATATACGTACATATGTATATGAATGCATTCACATACACACATGCTTATCGCTCATTTATTTCAATAGTGTCATATTTATTGGGCCTAATGAATTAAAACTAAGCAATTGCTCTTTCTTAATATTTCAGACCTTTTACTCGATTTATTGAAATAAATTTAAGCAAAAGGTCTGACATTTTAAGAAAAAGTAATAGCATAATTTTTATTCATAAGGCCCATATAAAATAATCGATAAATTTATTGACATTTTTGTAGCAACATCTATACATTATTGTGCGATGTATACAATACACGAATATATGTATATATGTGGGGAATTAAAAAAAAAATATATATCGCGAACTACCCGATGATGGTGCATTATTTTTATTTTAGAGTAACCAAGTATTTTTTATAAAATTCTATTAATATTTCACTTACCAATATTAACGATGCCATGATTGGTTAACTCCCAACACGACTGTAGACGCAGTATGCTCAGACTATGACTTTGCTTTGGCGAGAAATAACCCAAAGCAGCGTCGGTGACGTGGTAAGCCTGCGAAGGAAAATAAATAAAGTAAACGAAGTTAATATATGTACATATGTATGTATGTTGCAAAAAATATCGACGATAAAAAATTGACAACTCATAACTATCAATTTTTCCGAAATTGAGTTATATACATCAAAAGATTGTAAATTTTACTAGTAATTTTTGTTACTTTAGAAAAATTGTCAGTTATGAGTTGTCAATGTTTTGACCATCGATATGTACATAATATTTATTTGATTACTTTCAACTGATAAAATGTCCATATGATTCAAAGATTTTTCTTGAAACCTACCTGCAGTGAAAATTCATATAGTGATGGCAGCAATTGCGCCACTGCACCCACCGCCTCATCAGCGATATTAATACAATCGGCCAGCGAGAGCGAGACAATACGCGGCGTTAGACAAGCCCATAGGCCAGCCTCGGTAACTTCATTACAGCCGGCTAGTTCGAGTTCGAAGAGACTCTGTAAAAAAGTAAGGGTAAAAGAGTGAGTATAAATATTGAAAGCATTTACAACTAGGCATACACATTTTGGGGAGTAACATGATGCATCGGCGTATAGAAAATCGATGCTGAGATATATCGCCTGAAAAGCGTCGATATATCGATGGTTTCCAATGGTCCCCCAAAGTACAACGTACAACGGGGATGGAAATTTGTAAACACCGATGGAAAAATCGAATTTTGAAACGATATTATCGATATTTCAAAAACATCGATACATCGTTCGCATTCTCATTTCCAAAAACTGCAACCAATAAAGATTTTTAGTAAACCGTAGAACATTTTTAGTTTTGGGCATTCGTTGAGTCTGTTTTTGGGGTTTTCAAGATGTTTTGAGTTCTCTCAGGGTATCTTATGAATTTATTTCTTAATAAAATTATTCCAATATTCTGTTAAGTTCCCGCCTTCATTCAGAACGCACTGCACAACTTGTGGAAGAATCTTTTGAACTTTTCGTGTAGGCTGCTTCGAATTGTGGGCAGGGAATCTTAGAAACTATATCTTCAAGATGCTTTAGATGTTTGCCAAGAGTTCATATCGAAAGATTCTAAAGACCAAATCATGGCAATCAACCAGCCTAAAAACGATTTTCTTAGGTAGAACGGGAACGGATCCCCCGAGCATTTCCACTGAAATTAAGTCGATCGAATTTATTTGCAATTCTTAGCCGTATTTTCTTAAAATGCCTTTACACAGGTCCATATCTGTCGACTGGAAAATCGACAGAGAAATCGACTAGCCAAAGCATTCGCTTTTTATGGTTGAATTACCATTTATACGTGTCGATTTTGCTTGAACGTCAAAAAATCTACTAGAAAATCTACCCGTGTAAAGGCAGCCTCGCAAAACATTTCTGAAGCAACAGTGCTTAGTAGGAAAGATTTTAGCAGCTATTTGCTCTTGTTTGAGAAGAAAACTTGACATTTAAATGAGGAAGTAACTTGAAACCAGCTTTCAGTCTGCTTGCAGAGCTATTTCGTTTTAACCCTTTCAGTGCAACTTTTTGTGCCTAAAGCTTTTTTTAAATAAGAGCTTTTGTTGTTAAACGAACAGTTGCTTTGAGAAAAGTATATTATAATTCTTTACCATTTAATTTTATTGTATTTTCGGGAAGTTGATCGTGTTTTTTTTCTTAAAAGTGAAAAGTGTCACCAAAGTCAACAGTGAATAGTGAACAGTTAAAAATCGACTATTTAAAAAAAAAAATTAAGTATTAAATGTTCGTAGTTTAAAATATATTTCCCATTATTAAAATAAATAAGACCACTTTCCATTTTACAAACCTAGGGTACAACTGTCCAATAAAATGGACGCCGAATAACGGTAAAACTGACTGTTTTATAAAATTTTTATTGTCTTTCTTAAATCAACGCCCCAAAGTTAGCAGGTATACAGATTTTCGGATTTTTAGCTTCAACGGTTGACTTTTTGTACCAGGGACGTGAACCGGATGAAAAATTTGGTCGGTTCGGTTCAGCGATTTGAACCGTTGTTGCACTTTTGGATTGTTTCGTCAAAGCGGTTTTTTGGTCTATGTGCCGGGGTTTCGGTTCGGTTCAAAGGTTCGAAAAAAAAATAACGCGCAAATTTAAGTGTCAAGTGTCAAGTGCAACAACGCGTAAGGTTAAGGGTCAAGTGAGATGGGCCATGTTTAACAAAAAGAAAAAAAGTGGGTACATTTATCTATTGAAAATTGGTTGAAACGAACCTTTAAAGCTTTAAAGAAAGTGGTTCGGTTTCCGGTTCGGATCAAACATTTGTGGAAAAATTCGGTTCGGTTAATGGTTCAGTTAATTAATGGAAAAAAGCGGTTTTCCGTTTCAAAACCGGTTCGGTTCAAAACCGGTTCACGTCCCTGTTTTGTACTGAAAAGGTTAACCGAATTCAGTGTGTAATATTGTGTGGGTATTTTCTTCCAAAAATAGACGTAGTGAGTTCGATCAGATAGAAAGATTGAAAATGATCGAAGCGGGATACCTCTTCTAGAGTTATTGCTAAAAGTTTATTATTTTACATTTGTTCACCATATAAGTGCCGGTTTACTTAGCTGCCAATTTAATAAAATTACACGGTTTAAGCCAAAATCGCATAGCTAGCTAATTATTCATGTTTTATTCATTAGAAAGCAGTGGAAGAAGGAGCAATTAAAGAATACAAAATTCACTTGGAAAAATGCTTTTTAGAATACGGGCGTGGGTGTTTGCGCATAACGAAAGCATCATCAAAACATATATGTATGTATTTTTTACGCAAAAATTAATTAAACATTTTTCCAAAGTGGTTTCACGCACAATTTTATTAGCTAATTCGGTCAAAAAGTACGAAACCGAAACAAATTAAAAAACTCAACAACACAATTAAGGTACAAAGAAAAAAATCCCACAACAACAGTTAGCCTCAACCCATTTTTACTTCAAAGTAGCGCTGCAAAACTTTTCCAACGCCACTCGAACTGAGTAGTTATATAACAACAAATACCACAACCATATTAGCATGCAATGCACGCAGCTGTAAATTTTCATCGAAAACATAAAATCTGACCACCGACTGCGCTGCTCTCTGGTCTCTGTATCTGCTGCTTGCATGTTCCTTTGAATGTCAGCTGTTAGGCGCAGTAACTTTTGTTGGTGTGTTCATGCCCAGGCATGGATGGGAATGGGATAAGTACACCATGGCGTATACGCGTTACAAATTATTCAACAAATTATTACTTATGTGCGTGCCAGCTGAGCAGCAACCAGACAATTGTTTTGGTCTTTGTGTGTGTTAGTAAGTATTCGTACCATAAACTAAACAAATGAGCTACTAAGGAGGTTCGCGGCTAAGGTTACAGGTAAAGCAAGTCTTGCAATGAAGCACCACGAAGGGAGCACAAGTGCAGGCAAAGTTAAACAAAAGTACATATTTATTCTGGCCTCATGTACTATATTTACGGGCATATTGTATATATATGCTGCGTATTTTAATAGCTGTGCTTATTGTGAATATCTTAGCCACATTTCGCGCTTGAGGTCTTTCAGAAATTTAATCAACTCGTCATTGATGTAAAAATTTCTACAGATTGTTGGAATATGCATGAAAAGATTGGTTGGATTCCACTTCGAAGAATATTTTTAATGTATATATGCAATATATATGTAGATACTTTCATTAAAATACGAAATTCAGTTTAAGACCTCAAGTTCATGTTAACTTCTTTCTAACAATGCAGATATAGAGGCAACGAGTAGTGCGCAGGCGGCATACGGATTCGAGCAGTTGAAGGCGGAATAGATCGAACCAATGCTCAAAAGAGCAGAGTAATCAATGCAACTGTAAGCAAGCGATCCCTGGCAAAGAGAACAACCAGAATTACTCCCCAGGTAAGTGAGCTATCCTCCTCCTCTGGCCTTCTGTTTTAAATTAAAAGAGCTTTAGGACAGTTATCCAGCCGATAGATTTAGAATAGACTTATTTGGTGGGGGTTAGTGGGACCTCCACTTTTATTTTGAGACTAATATTATAAAAGTCCCTCAAGTAGCACACTGGTGCATAAATTGGTGTAGATTTACGAATTTCGGTATAAATCTGATTAATTGCACCAAAATTCACAAATTTACACCAAGTTATACACCAGTGTGCTACTTGAGCCTTTGATAATAATTATGAGTGCGAAAAAATTTTGTCCCGAACTGGTCCCCAGCTAGCCCCGATTTGGTCCCCGATCTGGTCCCCAACTAATCCTGAAATGCTCCTGAACAAGTCCCGTCTTTTAAGACTTAAAATGTTTTTTCGCGCTCATAATTATTATGGAAAGACTTTTAAAATAAGTCTTAAAATAAAAGTTTTTGTAGACTTAAAAATATTTATCTTAATATAATGATTATTGATTGACTTTTATTCTTTTCTTTTATAATAGTTATGTCTCTGAATTTCTTTCATAATTATATGTATGTAGCTTTAAATACCTTTTTATCATAAAACAATTTTGGTGTTCACTTAGTGCGAGAGCTCAACAACTTTTCATCTGAACTTTATAAATTTACCAATTAATCCAATGCACGGCAAAACTTCGTGTGCGTATACAAACTTCCGTTTTCTATTTAGATAAGTTTACTTTTTAACCGACGTCCAAAAAAGGAGGAGGAGGTTATCAGTTCGTCGGAATATATATATAATTTTTTTTTATGTATGTTACCGCATAACTTTGGACCACGTCAACCGATTTCGATAATTATCGATAATTATTTTGCATCGGAAAGGTAGTGTCTCAGAGGTGGTCCCATACTAATTTGGTTAAGATCCGATCAGTGGATCATGAGATATATATATATATATTTTATATGAGAGTTGAAGTTGGTTTTTTTTGAAAAAAATTACTTGTTTTTAATTTCTCTTAGATGAGTAGATAAGAAAACAACCATAAAATCCCCGATTTTTTTTTATTATTGAACGATTTTCTGAATCTTTGATCTCTGAGCTTACCTTTTTTTTAATATTTTTTAAAGTTACTGCTTTATTTGCCTAGAATCCTGCGTAAAATACATAGAAAAGCACTAATTAAGCATGTTTATATAACCAAGTCGAATACTAATGCAACCACTCACTTTCGTATATATGTACTGGTATGTAGCCCATAAACTTAACTAACACCACCAACCTCTTCCTTCCCCAAGCGGATTAAAACATGTCTAAACTAAAATATTTTACTTTAACTTTTCAACGTCCATTAGTATTATCAGCTGCTGGCATTGCTCTGAACTGAAACTTTATTCAGCTGTTTGAGCGGATTACCTGTGACCATAAAATTTTGGACAGCGCACACACATACAGCAAATGGTACATAGTCAAATATATTTATGTAGGTAGGTGTGCATTTACATATGTAATTAGTAAAGTGTGTATATTTTATTTACACAAAATTTTATTCACATACACAAAGTGAATATGATTCATTGCCTTTGAAAATTTTAGTTCATT